AAGCCATAACAGTTTTCATTGTGTGGCAAGTTGCACCATCTTGCATAAATATAAGATTTTTGACATTATTTTTAAATTTTTTTGTCAATTTTTGACATTTTCGGCTGGACATCAATCCCTTTTCTTTTAGCCTTCTACAAATGGTCTGGTCTGACACAACAATCTTATGGAAGAGATTATCAAGATCTAGCATAATACAGCTTCATGGATAAGCTTAGTGGCTTTTTTTCTTTTTTCCAGGCAGATATTTCTGATTATACTGTCCGCTCTTGGTGTTGTCTTGCGTTTAAAAGGTGGTCTCCTTGGACCAAACTCTTCCCCTGTATGAATTTTTTTTCTTACTTGCATTACGGTTTGGTAAGAAACCTTTTGCGTTGGGTGAGAAACCTTTGGTAAGAAACCTTTGTGCTATTTTTCATTAAGAATAATTTGTATTTTGTAAAAGACATGTATATCAATTTTTGTTACTATGATATTAATAACAATGTATAATGTAGGTTGTTGACCAATGGTTTATAATCAAAATTTAATATGGCTGACGGTAAAGGTAAAGAGAAATTTAAAGGAACAAACATTAGGTATTTACTTGTAAGTTAAGTGTAAAATTATATATTTTTAAAAATCACAGTTCGTTTTTTTAATGCTTTTTTTATTTTTAACTTTTTGATGTATTTGATGAAAATTACTCAGGCAATACCTTTTTTATAGAGAGAGTTTTGTCAATTAAAGTGACTGCTACAGTTGCCGAAATAAAAAAAGGAATAATGAATTTATTAAAATACGCACTCGACAGATCAAATGGTGGTGGTCGGCGCGTAAAAGGCGATTAACCCGATGTATAACATTCATACTTTTTCCTAGTTGTTCTGGAACTATTGATAATAGTTATTATTGATAAATTGATAAATATAATACTGATAAATAAAACTTTTTTTTTTCAAACATTTTATTTTATTTGCATTGTATGTAAAGTCCGTTGAAGCAATTTAGTTGTATCTGATTAATTATAAAAAAATTATAAAAAATAAAGTCCAATACTTTTTATCATTTTTGTGAACGATATATCCGATATTGTTAACCATCCATGTAAAATGTATGCTGATGACACTAAACTGCTGGCCCGTTTAGACCACCCATTAGCTTCACAAATGCTTCAAACTGATATCTACAACATAGCCAATTGGTGTAATACCTGGAAAATGAAACTTAATCTCGATAAATGTAAAATCATGCACATAGGTAAAAAAAACAACTTTTATGTCTACTTAATGCCAGCTAATAACAATAACAGTGTCGAACTTGCATCAACTTTAGTCGAACGTGATTTAGGCATCATGATTACACCAGACTTAAAATGGCATAACAATTCAACTTTTGCCACCAATAAAGCTAACCGTGTATTAGGCATGTTGTATCGTACTTTCAGTCACATGACTCCGCAACTACTTAAAATTCTATATACAACTTTTGTACGACCTCATCTGGAATTTGCGGTAGCAGCCAGCAATCCATCATCAAGAATAGATATTGACAAAATCGAGAAAGTACAAAGAAGAGCTACCCGTTTAGTACCTTCGTACCGTCATATGTCATACAAAGATCGTCTGAATATACTGAACTTAACGTCCTTAGAAACCCGTCGCATTAGGGGAGATCTGATACAGGCCTATAAAATTATTAACAATATAGACATTGTCTCATGGAGTGAACCCCATGTCCTTCGTGTTGGGCAGTCAAATAAAATAAAAACTAGAGGACATCATCTAAAAATGACTAGAGAATATGTTAAAAATTGTGAGCAAAGGCACCAGTTTTTTACTAATCGAATAGTGAATCATTGGAATGCATTGCCGTCAGAAGTTGTATGCGCTTCATCAGTTAACAGTTTCAAGGCTAAGCTTGATGCAGAAATTTCAAATAATCCGCATAAGTATCGAGATTATAACTGAAAAAAAAAAAAAAAAAAAAAGAAAACAATAAAGGAAAAACAATAAAGTACAAACTTATACTTTATACTATATATCTTATTGTAAATTTTTATATATATTGATACGAATAAAATTAATGTATGAAGTAGATAAGGCTGCCAAAACCTGTAGGTTATACAGGGAAACCTGTTGCAGCAATTTCTCTACTCTACTACTACTAATTTACGTGAAATATAATATCCTCTGCGCAAATTATTGTTTTTTTATTGTGTTAATTTATTGCAATTAAAGTTGAGAAAATTTTTTAGTTAATTGGATTTAACCAAAATAAAAAACAAAAATCAACGTTGAATTTACGTTGTTTCAACGTTGTTTTAACGTCTTATCAACTACGAATCAATCGAATATATCACCTATTCAAAGTTGAAATATGGTTGATATGTAGTCGATAAGACGTTAGATCAACGTTGAAACGACGTAATCATCGACGTTGTTTCAACGTCGTAGTTTTCGACGTCGGATTTTATTTCCAATTCAACTAAATTTCAACGTTGTTTCAACGTGGCATATGGTCGGTTTGCGACGTTGTTTCAACGTTATTTCAACGTCATTGTGCCGGCTGGGTAAGTTAGCATTTACTTTAATAAAAAACAGTGGCGTAACTAGGGTATCACAGGCATGGCAGGTATGGCGTTTGCCATTGGCGCCTTTTACCTTAGGTAGGCCATTGATAAAAATCTTATTGCTATCTCCTATAACTCCTATCATTCATGTTTTCTAAACAGTTTACAGTCGGCAGAAAGGTGTGCAGACTTCATTCTTTAACTTCTTAAAAGTCAATACGGTTTCAAAATAAAAACTCTATTTGAACATGCAATTAATCTTACTCAAAGTATAACTAAAATGTCAGTTTTTATTACAGACTTATCTAAGGCTTTTAATAAGATTGAAGACTATGAAATATATAGTTTTGCTGCTGCTAAAAGGTTATTAAAACAATGCAAACAATTAAAATACGTCAAAAAATCTTATTTATATGATTTCTTAAACATAACCTGCAAAGTTCCACTAGGATCTATACAAATATCCTTACTATTTCTAATTCATGGTACTGATCTTTATAAAGCCTTAAAGTTAACACAAACTAAGTTTGATAATGATACATGATAAACTTTTTTATAATACGAACACTACTCTAACAAAACTCTTTGAACTCTTCGAAAAAAAATGAGTTCGATTGTATATGTACAGTTTTATGTGTATATAGGAATCATTTTAAATTTATTCTACAATATCGAGTCCCAGCCGGAATTTGGTCCTAAAAAGACGTCTTTTGAACGTTCATAAGATGTATTTTTAAAAACAAATGCTGGCTGAGGTGTAATTATGTACATAGATGTGCGCATACACACATATATAGATTCATACAAACATACACACACGGCCGTTTCGATGAAGTCTCTCATGAAGGGGGTTTTGTGTGTATTTTTTGCCAACTAGAGACTTAAAAAAAAAAAAAAGGTCCTCGATATTTGCGAAATAATTATAAAAAAACATATATAACAGCTTTGGAGGATGGGATTTTTTGAACATGGGATTTTAAAAAGTAAAATCCCATCAACTTTTGATGGGATTTTACTTTCATGAACCATTCATTTCATGAATGGTTCATGAAAGTAAAACGATAAAATTAAACTCCATAGCATTTCCTAAAAAAGCTCATTATGATATTATGAATGTTTACATATGTAAACATTCATAATATCATAATGAGCTTTAACCGACTGTTTAACCTATATCGAAAGAGTCGACATTTGCCGACTAACTAGTCTAAAACGATCCAATTTGCCGACTAAAAATCATTGATGGGGGGGGGGAGGGTGACACCCCCCCCCCCCCCAAACACACCCCTATTGCGCCGGCCTTGTATGTTCTCATTTATCTCACTTATTAGATTTTTAGATTTATTCGCACATATTTGATTTTTAGATCTTAGATTTACAAGATAGAACGAAAATATACTCGTATAATTGGTATCAAGAAATTTAAAATTTACTCATATAATTGGTAACAAGAAATCTTTTTGTCAACCGGAAAACATAATTCTTAAATAAACTTCAATTGAGCAATAAAATAACAAATAACAATTAAGTTACAAGAGCAATAATCAATTCTCTTCAAATAACTTTATAATTTATTTTAATAAAATAATTTGTCACAATTTTTAAATTTTGAAAAATAAAACTTTTAGACATTAAGTTAAACTTAAAATAAAGTTTTAAATATATAGCAGTTTATAAATTTTAATTAATGAAGCGGCTAATAAAAACTACAATCTAACTTTTTTAATAATAAATATTTAGGAATATATCATTGTGAAAAAATAAAAATGTGTTTATATTTGAAGTTAGATTAGTTATTTTAAAGCACTTTCTAAAACTTCGAAGGAAAGGAAATCAAACAATTTAAACTCATTAAAAATCGATTAATATTTTTTTAACGATTTCGTCAGGTTGACGTTGCAAAATTTTTTTTTCATATCAACGTTTTAAGACCTATTAAAAAAAGTCTCTCTAAGGATTAAACTTAAACACGGTGATGCGGTTTGCATTTTTTATTTTCTTTTTTAATTTACTAATGTTATATAAACAAGCTTTTCTATATAGATATTCTATTTTATAACAATATTTATAGAGGCTTTTTTATGTGATTTATTTACTTCTCGAAAAGTGTAAATTTGTTTACTTTTAAAATTTTTTTATTTTAACATCAATAAAAAAGCAAATTAAGTAACTTTTGTCCTTCTAAAATAAAATGAAAAATACACGAAATTTAAGTTAGTATTAAATCAGCTAAGCGTGTTTAAATCCCACGAGGATAGTATTGTAACTTTCTTCTGCGTAATGCGGTAATAAACATACGTAGTTAACTAGCCATGCTTTTTTCTCGGAAATATTTAGTACGAATAATATTTTATATGAAAAAATTTTCTTTTGTTTTAAGTTTTAAACATTTGTATCAGAAGTAGATTTTTATCTCCAACATTTTTAGTTTATTTTTTTTCACTTTTAGGTATATATCTGAATTTGCCACAATGCTCTTTTGCTGTCTATTATACCTTTTCACATTATTAAATAATAACGGTAAGATTTTAAATAAAATGATAATTTTATTTATGTTGATTTTAATAATTTTCTGAAAATTATATGATTTTTTAATTAAAATTTAGTTTATATAGTTATAAAGAAATATAGAACATAGATGCTTTTTGTTGTCGTTTTTTTTATTTTTCTCTTATTAATTGCTATTATATTGAATTACAAAAATTAAAATTAAAATAAAATCAGCCATCTTAACTAAATCAGTTCTAAAAAAGAAAAGTATACATTCTTAATTTTATATGGAAATATACAATTAAATTACCAAAATTTTAAAAGCCCAGTTATAATAAATACTTAAATTATCATAACATTCATAACTCCTATTAAATACATATTTATTATTTATAATTGACTAATATTTTAAAGAAATGAAAAGAAATGAAATAAAACTTGAATGATTTATGGGTGTCAGAGTCATTTGGTGTTTAACATACTAATACTTAAATCATGTCTACTCTGGTGAAGGGAGGTGCACTTGATTCATGAGGGCGCCCTGATAAGAATATATATATCTCTATATATATATATATATATATATATATATATATATATATATATATATATATATATATATATATATATATATATATATATATATATATATATATACACACTTGACTGTGTATATATTTCACAGAGATATTAACATAGTGAATCAAGTACACCCTTATCAGTAGATATGTATCTATGTGTGTGTGTGTGCGTGTGTGTGTGTGTGTGTGTGTGTATGTGTGTGTGCGTGTGTATATTATACTTAATAATATTTTATTCAATGTTACCTAAAAAGCAATCTATATTTTTTTGTTTTTACATTTAGTGTATTGTCAAACATATAATGAAAGCACTCTACAAATGCCTTTGATTGAATCAAGTATTATTTCAATTTCTAAATTACAACTTGAAACAACAGTCTTGTTTACTGATTTAAATTCAACAAAGTTTGAAAAAAATACTTCTATGGCAAGTTCTTCTTCAATTAGCACATGGTCTTTTATATCAAAAGAATTTCAAAACTTCAGTTATTCTACTCCATTATTAGACATTTCAACATTAGAAATTACAGATTATTTATCTAGTAGTTTAACTTTGCCACAAATAAGTTTTTCTAGGAATGAGATGACCTTAGTTTTACAAAATATTGAATCATCTTATTTATCCAAAGAAGTATCTTCTGTTTATAATGGGAATATTTCACATAACAATATTAGTTTTCCAAATTTATCAATGACAACATCACTAAAAGTGAATTTAACAGATTTCACCTCATCAGTTTCACAGTATGAAACTTTGACTACAAGTATTATTTCAAGTTTTACAATAATAGAAGAGTTACCATTATTATCAACGACAATAACATACCTTGTGCCAAGTTTTATTTCTTCATATTTAAATACAAGTGCAAGTTCATATTATATTATTTCAACTGATTCCCTATCATTACTTAAGACGCCAATATCTGTTGCACCAAAAGAATCGTCTTTTATGATACGTGCTAGCTTAACAATAAATGGTAGTATGATACTTCCATTTCAGAGCATAGATCAGACATTGTCTTTAAATGCACTTTCTGACTCAAGTTTCAATATTGATTCAACTTATGGGTTAAGTACAATATCAAAAATCAATGTCAATAGGACTGAATTAATTATAACACCTAGTATTGTTTTGTCGCAAAAAACACTAGATTGGTCTAATTCAAAAACAGAAAGCAGTCCAATCTTAAGTTTATTACTATCATCACTTGAGACTGTTCCCACAGTGACAATCACTCCTGGCTTGTCATTATTATCCTCTTTTATTACAGAGAATGCTACCTTATTTAGCAGTATGCAAGTTACCAGTGTGAGTCAAACAATTTCTATAAATTCATTTTCTGCAAATGACAATACAACAGAAGTATATTTACAGATTAATACAATTAACTCAACTCCATTATCATATGTCGATAATGTTACTCAAATATTTGTAACACCTAGCATGGTTTTGTCACAAGAAATGTCAACATTATCAAAATCTTTAGTAGAAAATAGTCCGATCTCTAGTATATATTCTTCGGTTGAGAGTCTAAGTTTTCCAACAGCAGCATTGGTTTCTATTACATCATTATCACCTTTTATTACAGATATTGCTAGTTTGTTTAGTAGTATATCATTTAACAGCGTTAATCAAACATCATCTTTTATTTCATTTTCTGTGAGCCACAACAGAAGTATCACAGATGTAACTATAAATACTAACTCAACTTATGAAACAAGTTCTATATTGAACATTTATAATAGTACTACTGAATTAATTTTGACACCAACTATGTTTTCATTACATGAAATGTCATCTTCAGAAACTCTTATATTGGAAAGCAATGTAACCTCAAGTATAAATTTTGTATCTTCTCTCAAAGCAACACCATCTGCTGATTTTACAAGCAATGTACGTTATGAAAGTACAACAAGTTCTTTACATAGGTATACAATGGATACATCACATAGTCAGGTAAAAATTACTAGCAAAAGTTTTTCAACAGTTTCTACAATCAAGACAATTTCTACTGACGAAGTAATAACCAGCTTAGTGGATAGCCAAAGTACTTATTCAATGTCTTCTTCTGCTGTCTCAATTTTACAAGAAATAACTTTATATTCAAGTGCTTCTCACATAATTATAAATAAAAGCTATGGTAGTTCACCTAACTTATACAAATCTTTGATTAATGCAGGTAATTTTATTTTAAAAGTATCAAATAATATAATATAAAAAAATCTCAATTATATCTCATTAATCTCATTTAAAAATATATTTTCTAATTTTATTTTGTTTATTTTATTAGAAAATTCAACATTAGTTTCAACATATTTTCCTGTTATGCATAATAAACATAAAAGTGTTATTACATCTGCAGAAACTGTTGGTATATCTTTAGCAATCGTTTTTTTAATCGTCTTAATGGTTTTGCTTTTTTGTTTATGCGCAAGAAAAAGAAACCAAAAGAGGTTTTTAGTTGTTTTTTTATGATAATATTTATCTGAGTAAATGAGTGTAAATAACTATTGTAATTTTACAACTTGATTGTAAAATTACATTAGTTATTTTTACAAAGTTTAAAATATATTAAAATAACACTTTTAAATCTCATATATATGTATATCTCATATATCTTTTGGAATAAAACAAGTAATATATCTTTTGGAATAAAACAAAAAAGTGCAAATTTTTTTTACTGCCAATTAGCTTTACTGCCAATTGCTAATAAGCTAGACCAGAAAAAGTTTAAAAATTTGAATAAAGTATTTTATTTTCTTAAATGATAGACTGCTTGCTCAAACCAAACCCTCAATTGATATAGCAGCACTTCCTTGTAGTAGCAGGCTATAAGATAATTGATGTAGCAGCACTACCTTGTAGCAGCAGGCTTCAAGATAGTGGATGAGCCAGCAATTCCTTGTAGTAGCTTGCTTGTAGGCAGCACTTGCTTGTTGCAGCACGCTATAAGAAAGTCAATGTAGCAACACTTCGCACATAAATATATATTAAATATATGTTAAATAAAAACAAAAACTCTGTTAATTAAAAAAACTCTCTAGTCTTTTTTAAAAAACAATAAAACAATGTACTTCTTCATTGTTTTAACTTTTAGACAACATTAAAATGCAGCTTAATTGTTGAAGTTGCAATATTGTTGTTAAAAGAGCAAACTCCAAACTCAAGTATATTCATACCTATGCCAAATAAGGAGGCCTTGCAAAATATTGGGATGCCCCCCCCCCACGACCCATATGTGAGAAAACTATATATATACATATATATATATATATATATATATATATATATATATATATATATATATATATATATATATATATATATATATATATATATGTATAAATATATATATATATATATATATATATATATATATATATATATATATATATATATATATATATATATATATATATATATATATATATATATATATATATATATATATATATATATATATATATGGGGCGTTTACAGAAAATTTTTTGGGTATGTCAAAAAAAAAATGCCCCCCTCTGCCTTCTCTTTTTGTAGGGAGAGGGAAGGGGACCGGATTTTGACCAGATTGAGTGTATTTTATAAAAATGTTTTAATTCTTTAAATGACTTGTAACAGTGATAAAATGGTAACTAAAGCTCAAAATATGATTTTAACAAAGTAAAAAAATTATTTTTTGAAAATACTTAGTTGTCGTAATGTATAATATGCATGTATAATATACATGTTAAAATTTTTTACAAGATTTGTGAAAACAATTTACAAGATTAATACAAGATTTTGCTGTATAAATTTTTTTATATAACTTAATAAATAACTTTTAATTATAAATAAACTTTATAAATACTTATAGTCAAAAAAATTATTGCAATAACTGTACAATGCTAAATGTTTTTACAAAGATGACTGGCTATGAAAATAGCTGTTTAACAAAAAGCAGCTAAAACATTTGAAGTTATACTTTTATTGTGTTTGAATTTTATTTAAAACACAACTCATAAGTATTTATAACAAACTTGAAAAGGTTTGTTGCTTGTAATGTTTCAGTATTATTAGATTAAAGTTCATTTTTGAAATTCAGGCAGTTAATTGAAGTTCAACTAAACTTCCCACAGAGCAAATTTGAGTCATAAAGCCTTTGGTTTAGAAATAATAAATAAACCTATTAAAGCCTTTGGTTAAACAAGAAACTAAAACATATGATTTGGTCTTCTCAAATAGTATAACAAAACATTGAATTTCTGCATTTGTTTTTAGAAGAAACTGAATGTTAGAAAGAAGAAACCACAGGTGCTTTATAACACTTCAAATTGTATCAATCAACCATTGAGTAGATTGATACGATCTGAAGTGTTATAAAGCACAAAGAAACAGCGATAACCAAGTTAAAATAATTTGAAATGCAATTTTTAGGCTTGTTTAAAGCATATTTGGAGGTGTTGATTAATAATATTTCTAACTATAGAGACAAAATCTTTTAATGCTTGAATAAGATTTAAACTATAAAAATTATATTTTTTATAATATTAATTATTACTTGCTTTCAAAATTGTGTAATTAAAAAAGTTATATTAAAAACATGTCTTGTTATACACAGTGCAACAATAAAATTAAAATTTGTTATTAACTTTAGAAGCAGTAGCAGAGGCTGCACCATTAATGACATTCTTTCAGACAGAAAACCACAGGTATAAAAAACTTTCCTAAAGTATCCTTGCCACAATTTCACATTTCATAACACCCAAATAAAAATCAGTAATAGCTTTTATGAAAATACTAAGTAAATACGTTTTTTCTTTAATATGGTTCATCATAGTTCCTATTACGATTATCATAATTCTCATAAAGGAAAAACAATATGGCGAATTAAAATTATACTTAATAAGTCTAAAATCTTCTTCTTGATTTTCAAAGAAAACAAAAGGAACAAATACTAGTTTCTATCGATGCAACTATAAACAGCTTCTACTTGTAATAACTCTCTGTCTTCCTTTCTTGTATTCAAAGGATATCATGATATCAAAAGTTCTACACAATTAAAGTAATATTCGGTCGCCTAACTTTAAAGAAATTGATGCTTTTCTATAACATACTAATTTTTTCTTTAAAATGCTATATCAACTTGTGAATTAAGCGACATTTTGCACTAATTATTGGCCATGTTATATGTTTAATAAATTTTATTAATTAAATTAAACACAAATTAAACAGGGTGTAAGGCGAAGGGGAAGTCCGAAATTTATTTTCTACATTTGAAACCTTTTCTCTTATTTATTAATTAAAATGCAAGTTATTAAAATGATACACAGTCTAGTGTAATAAAACTGGGGATGTCCATTGATATATTTTGATATATACTAGTTGTTTCTAACTAATTTTACCTCCTGGTGATAGCTAAACAATAAAACTTAAAAAAAATTCTACTCAGGGTGTATGTTAAAATGGGAATGGGGATGGGGAAAATTTTACAAAAAAAAACAAAACAGAATTTGCCACTTGTAATATATGTAAAACAAAAATAATGTGCAAAGGATTTTCAACTAGTGGACTTCTTTGTCATTTAAAAAATCTTCACAAGGAAGTCGAAATTGAAGTACCGAAAAAAAGGCCAAAGGAAGACACAAGTTTTAAAGTTAGAAATGCTCAACCAAAAACTGTCATTTATAAAAAAGAAATTTATAGAAAAAATTGATTCAATATTGGCGACTGTAGATGGTTTTTCTATTAATGCAAAATCTGAATTTATAAGAAAATCTTTACCTGATAAAGGACCATTTAACAAAAAAAGTAATGGTTAAGGAAATGACAATGCAAAGGTGGCTCATTTCTCTATTTCAATGGACGAATACACTTTTCGATGGACGAATACACAAAAAATCGTTGCTACTTGAATTTAAATGTGCATTCATTAACTAGGCTTTGGAACTTGGGTATGGTTTAAATAGTTGGGATGCTTCTAGCTGAAAAAATTATTGATGTGGTTGAAAATAAATTATCCGAATTTAATTTATCTACAAAAAAGCACATAATTTTTAGTGTAACTGACGGTGCATCAGTTATGAAAAGATATGGAAGATTAGGCGAGATGAAACATCAACTTTGTTATGCAGATGGGCTACATTTAGCAGTTTATGATGTTTTCTACAAAAAATCAGTGATTTCAAATTCATCGGGCAGTGAGTGTAATGCATCAAAGAGTCAGAATTCTGATGAAAATAATACCGAAGACTACAAGCCTGAAGAAATCGATTTAACAACTTCAGTGGAATTACAGTCAAACCAAAACAACGTTTTATTAAATTTACGAGATGTTGACATCACTGACAAATTTTTAGGCTGCATAAGTATAGCACAAACAATTCTAAAGGTCCAGAGAATTGCATGAATGTTTCGTAAATCACCACTCATAAATGAAATTTTACAAAAATACATAAAAATTACATGCAATAAAGAACTCAAGTTAATACTGGATGTAAAACAAGGTGGAATAGCCTTTTTGCAATGTTAGAGCGATTTATTGCATTAAAAACATGTATATTAAAAGCATTGATAGATTTTAAACACAGCAATATTAACAATATTTTGGAGGAGGAATATTTAGTGGTGGAGACTGTAGTAATGGTGTTACAACCAATTAAATTGGGAATTGATGGTGGTGGAAATTACGCTGAAATTGAAAAATTAGAACGCAATAATGACTGGACTGAAACGTCAATTATAGCCAAACCAAATTTGAAGACAACATCTGAATCAACACTTCATCAATTGGAAGCTGCCATTACGAACGTTATTCGAATTGAGAGTCCAGAAGATGTGTTATATGATTTTAAAAATATTACAAAAGAAATGGATATTTTTGATGCAACGAAAAAGTGTACAAATAATTTTGACAAAATATATAATGCTCTATTAACTATCCAACCAACTTCAATTGATTCAGAAAGAGCTTTTTCTGCGGCAGGTCTTTTTATTATGAAAATTTGGTGATAGCGCTATTGACAATTTATGTTTTTTAAAAAATTATTTTAAAAGTTAATATATATATAAAATATAATGTTATTGAAGTTTATATTTTTTGTATTTTGAGAGTTTTAGTTTCTAAGAATTATTTTGTCTTTATTTTCTTGTTAAAAGTAATAGTATTTAAACCACGTTTTTTTGTATTTGTTTGAACTTACACATCCTCCCGCCCATTTAGTTTGATAAATTCTTGCTTGTTACTTTATCCTGGGATTTCCCGGGATTTTGGGAAATTATTCATTTTTGTCCCGGAATCCATGAAATTAGATTTTTACAGGAAATGAGAAGCCCTACTGATAATACTTGTTTTTTTTTAAAACCTATGTTCTTGGGTAGCTCCAGGAATTTCAAAAATTTGATCTTTGCACAGCATTCAATATTTGGGCTATTTAATAAACTTAAGCAAGTTTTGCACAATTTTATGTTTGCAAATGAAACAAAAAAATTTCAAAGAATTCCAAGACAATCTTGACCAACATATAACTTAGTAAATAATATACAAAAACTTTGACCATTTTTATCAAAAACCATTATTGTGTATAATATATTGTATATATATTTGTGAGTATGAGTGTTTATGTGTGTGTGAGTGTATGTGTGTGTGTGCATGTGTATTGACGTTGTTTTGAAATGCATATACTTTAAAGAAAATGCTTGATAAATGAAATCAGAGCTAATAATAATAATAAAGGGAAATTTTGGTTTAAAAACAAAAAATACACCACACCAATGCAGGTAACTGAAAAAAACTTTGAGGCAGAACTATTTTACTTTGTGAAATCAATGAATTTGAAAAAACTCATTGGTTTCACAAAGTCTAGTGAAATCAAACCACAATATCCTAATTTTTTCAGATAAAACCAAGCTACAAAATAAAAAAATGTCTCTCAAAAACCCAATAAATCATAACAAAAAGCATAGGAACAAAAGTAAATATAAATAAACTAATTATCATAATCACACAAAAATTTTACTTTTTACTTTAAAAAATAATCGTATGAAATAATTGATATAATAAAATGTACTTTTGGTATTTTGTTCTGCGTTTATAGGTTTTCATACTTTACAAAAACTATATGCATTATTATATAAAGAATACACTGAGCAAAATATAACATACAAAACTTAATGTTATTAAAATGCTTACTTTTCAAAAGTATTTTTTGTAATACACCAAAGAAACTCTAAATTTGAACTATAAGCTTTTTTTAAAATTTAAAGTGTATGAGTAACATGCTTCTTGTTGCAACACTAAGTTTTAAAAATTTGTCCCTGTTTCTGTCATAAACTATGTTTGTCACTCCCTGTCCACATAATATGTTGTTTCACATAATACTACTATACCTGAAAAAAAAAAAGTACGACACAAGATGATTACACCGTATCTTAACCACACAAGACTATTCCACTTTATCTTAACCATAATTTAACATATAAAGAATTAAGGCTTGTACTATAGGTATATTTTGATCTTGATTTTAACTTAGGCGCTTTCGACTGTATGATGACTATCACATACCTGGATTTACTGAACTTGGTGGAACAGTTCACATGGCGGAATTAAACAATGAAGAGATGTAAGTTTTTTTTTGTGTATTTAATAACTCAGCCTAATTTTGATATTAAAATTAAAATTGATTTTATAGTTTATAGTTCTATAAATGTTATAACTTAATAATTTGTAAATAGGGTGTCTGCCAGATCAGGGAAATTGAGTAAAGCAGGGAAAAGTCAGGGGATTCAGGTATCTAAAAAAAACTCAGGAAAATTTAGTTAAATTTAGGAAAAATCAGGAAAATTGGCTCGTCTTCAAACTTACATGACCTATGTAAGTTGTATACTGTACAGGTAATATAAAATTTTATTTGATAGCTTATGAACTTTTCTTAATTTTTTATTGTGCATTTATATTTTTGAAATTGAATTTTATTCACTTTCAATTAAATCAGTGAAAATAGGTAGTAGATCAGGGAATCATGAGGGGAAAATCAGGGAAACCCATAATAAAATATTGGCAGACACCTCCCACAGCCGTTTTTCAAAATGCCTTAAGGTAAAAAAAATCAAAATTGACTTTTTTACAAAATAAGTTATTTAGATGTCTACAAAGGTTATTGAATTAATGTTTTTGAAGAATTTTGGAAAAATTCTCATATAAATTATGAGTTTGAAAAAACGTTTTACAAAGAGTTTCTTGTTTATTTTTTGATTGCGTTTTTCTCAAAAAACATTAAAACCATTTTACGGCCTTTTTAAAAAATGGCTGCAGCCCTATCAAAGAAAATTAAAAAATACATAATCTTTTATGTACACATTAATAAAAATTTTATTTCATTAATAAAATTTATTTGCTTATTAATTGCTGCATAATTAATATTTTTTGTGTGTTCTGTTTTGATCAGATTTGTAAAGAATTTCATCAGACATAAATGCATTATATTAGCAATAATATATGGATGACTTAGCACCAAACAGCCTATAAAATGAATATGTTGAAATGAGATGATTAGATGCAAAGTAACAAAAGCCTATAAACCTAAAAAAATTAAAAGTAATTGCAGTTCAGTGCACTTTTTAAGTAAAGTACATTGGCGTTTGCAAAGTAACACTAAATAAATCATTTTTTAACATAAACTAATTTTTTTTAACTTTGTTGTACAGGCATCTTGGAATTTTAGTTTGGCACTTAATCAACCATATAATAATATAAATAAAATAAAATATAGTCAACATTGTATAGAGATAAAGAACTAAGATTGCTTTATGTCATTTAAAAGTGTAAACATGATTTGATATTTTTATCAAGTTGATTTGCAAATAAAAAGTTTTCAACATCAATCAAATAAATTAATGAACAGTGTAATAGTTTTATAATAAAGTTTTAGTCTAAAACTTGGTGTACAACCAGGTTTGTTGGGTTCATTCCCATTTCTTCTGTTCAAAACAACTTAAAAAACACACAACTGTCAAGTGTTTTTCTTGTAAAAATTTTTTTAAATTAAAACTCGCTAGCGACTGTAAGCCCAAAGCTGTTATCAGTAAAACAAGAGTGTCAACTTTAGTTGCAGAATATCTAATAGTTGAATAGCCTGTTTCTTAGGGAAATAATATCTTTTGATTTCTTGCAATGATAAAAAGATATTTTTTCTTAAGCGAGATGTTTTTGTGAAAAAGAACTATTAGGTATATTAATTAAATGTTGCATGAGAAGCAGAAAAGCATGTAATAACTTGAAGTTAGTGAGAAGGTATGAAAGCTTTTAAACCTGCCTGGATCCAGAATATTATGTAGGAGGCTCAATTTTCATTGTAGAAAGTCATAAGCCCAAGTATTATAACAAAAAAAAAAAAAAAAAATTTTAATCACTCTGAAGGTATTAGTAAGTAATAGAATGATAGAGTAAATCTAATGTAGTAGAAGTACAAAATAAAAGAAAAAATAGTAGCTAATCACAAATTGCAGTCAGAGTCAACACACAAATCAAGAAGAGTGATTTGAGTCTGTTAAACATGTCACAAAGCTAACAATCTTAGTAAAATGTTGAGAAAAACCAAAATCTTTGAGCTTTAGAGTCAGTGGTATTAGAGTAAGAAGCATTAAAGCTACAGTTGATATTTTTTTCATAAAAGAATCTTTTTTACAAAATTTGTAATTTTTTTTTGCAAAAAGTTACCAAAAGTTGATTCCAGACCACAAACAAATATAATAATTGAGTCTTAAAGTTGCAGGATGATATGGTGGTAAAAGTTTAACACATCCTAGAATCAAAAATATTTAATCCGTATAAATAAATTTATCTTTTTGAAATGTGTGTAACTAGTATAGAATTTACAATAAATATAATATTGGCAAATCATAATATCGGCTGATGGATAAAGAGCAAGAGTTGGGTAACTTCGATCAGAAATAATAGCAAAAGTGTGCATTCTTTGGTAGATAGAGAACAATGAAGTGCGAAAAGAAAGTTGATTGAGTGAAGTAAAACAAGAGAACATCAGAGGACTTTTTTTTTTTTTCAACATTTACACCTCTAGCAAGGGTGCAAGCAACCACTATTAGAGTTGGAAGTTACTGGAAGAGAAAAGCTTATCTTACTGGAAAAGAAAAGATAAAGTTTGTAGAGCAAGATAATGATTGACAGACGTATTAAAAAGTGCAAATTTTATGAATCAGAAAAGCAAGATGAAAGAAGCTAATTCCAAAAAACTGATGTTCAAGGAAAAAAACTAGACGAATAAGAGTTTTTGGAGTACTTAGGAATAGTCACAAAAAAAGGATGAGACACAGAAAGAATGACGAGTGACATGAGAATAAATTTTAGTAGATGGCACAAGCAACGCTAGCTCTTTACAGCAGTGCTCGTTATAGTATTTGTAGAAAAAAGAAAGAGAACATTACGATGATGTGATAATAGTAGAAAAGAGAAAGAGAACATTACAATGATGAATAGTTGGAGTTGGAGAGCAGGTCCATGTTTACAATTCATTTTTGCACCTTTTCTAAAAGTGAAAGGGCATCATATGAAGATCCACCCAATTTAATCCTGGTTTCATTACAAATACACAAATAGATATGCAAGTATATGCTTAAATCAAGTAACTGTTATGTAATTAACAGTTATAATTAGTAAGTTATTTTCTTTTCAATTTAACATTAAAAGGTTAAAGTATACAATTTATAATACTTATAATTTAATAACAATTAAATAGAACATGATATCTGAAATATTTAATACAATATAAACTTAAAACTCTGTTTAAAACTTTGTTTAGTTATGCATTTTATCTTGACTTTTAGTTAACAACATAAAAAGATTTTATAAAACTAGTTATGAAGTTACTTTTTAAAATCAGTTGTGATAGTTTGACACACCATGAGAAGGTAAGCCTAGTCACACCGCCAAGTAACACTACGATATAGTAAAATTTCATGCATGTGTGGCTAAGACCTCGCTTTACACATAACTAAAATCATAACATATATACATTGTGGTTGTGATCTAAGACTACAAAAGACTTTCAAAACAAAAAGTAAAAAGACTATGACAATTTTTCCTAATATAATTCAACTCTATCAAAGGTTTGACTTTAACTTTTGTTAAAGTCTGTTTTGAATTTTTTAGGCAACATGTTTCATCAATCACAATTGTCATTTTCAGGTCTAATAAGAAAATATTTTTGGAATTTTGTATACATAAAAATTTTTACAAAATTTAAATAAAATATTTAAATTTTGTAAAAATTTAAATATTTTATTAAAATTTTTACATTTATTAAAATATTTTTACAAAATTTAAATAAATGGAATTTTGTAGACAAATAAAATTTTTATGGATACAAAGTTGTAAATAATTTTTGTCATTAGATTTGATGATGTCAATTGTGTTTGATTAACCACATATATACATAATTTAAATTAGTAAATACAATTAACGACATATAATTACAATTAATAAGGCAGTTAATTGTAATTGATTAAAGTTGTTTTCTGTTTTATTGTTGTAGACATTACGAAGAAGTTGATGTTTTGGATAGGTAAAAAAAATTTGATTATGTTCTAGGTGTTCTCTTGTTTGTTTTTTACAAAATTTCTTGCATTATTTTTTTTTAATCTTTCAGTGATTTGATTTTCAGTTTATGTAAATTTTATATCGTTTTCAGTTTTATTTTAATTTGTTATTTAGAGGAGAAAATCCACTGTACAAATTGAAAGTATCTGAAAAGCCCGGAAAAGAAGGGTATGTTCAAATGTCACAATGCGAATTTTAAATTGTTTTACCAAATATCAGTGTGTATAACAAAAAAGTTATTAAATCGCTAAAATGTTCATGGCGATGTTTAAGATTGTCTCTTATATATAGTTTGCTAATACATATAAATACATCTATCATATTCAATACTATACATATAACAATATATCTACATTAATTACATATACAAGTAACAGTATCAGTTTATACAATATATATATATATATATATATATATATATATATATATATTATATATATATATATATATATATATATATATATATATATATATATATATATATATATATATATATACGTATAATACAATATATCTACATTAATTATTAAACACCTTTATTTATTTTTGAAAAGAATCTTTTTGTTTCAGATATTAAATTTTAAGTACTGTATTTTAAGACCACATTGTAATTAAAATTGATAATTAAGTTAATCAATTAATATGGTCAAAATTGGAACTAGGAAATACCGAGGGCTAATCCCGGAGAAGGTTTAGTGTGGCGTTAAAATCTTACGAAAATTTAATTATCTTTTTTACGAATGATAGGTCTTCAATAGTTTTGGGTAAACCTCTGATGTCAATATAGGTTTAATTAGTGAAAATAAAAATAAATTGGTTCTCTAAAAAATTAATTCTCAACTGTTTCTCTTGACTTTCTAAATTCTACTAACTTAGTTGTATTATTATTATTAACAATAATTATTAACTTTATTTTTTGATATTTTAGTGAATATAATCGTGCACTAATAGTCGACTAAAAACTACTAACCGATAAATGCTGATTCCTTCTTACTTTTTTTAATTCTATTTTTTGTTATTTTTTTTTCATTACTAACAATAATTTCAAAATCAAAATAGATATTTGTGTTAACAGATTTGATTTTTTGTTTTGTTATTTTGTTGTTGTTTTATGCAAGTTTTTTGCTAGATGAAGTATTTTCTTTTGTTTTTGTTTTTAATATTTTTTTTTAAATACATTTTAGTTCTATATTTTTTAAACAAGATTTATATTTTTGTTATGATTTTGTATTTATTAAAAGATAAAGAATTTTTATATCTTAAAATAAATAGATAGTATAAAATTTCAAACAAGATTTTATAAAAGCTTTTCATATGTTCGTACTGGTTGCGTTTTTTTTTTAATTTATTTATTGAAGTTTATAAATATGTGAAGTTCATATTTTATTCTAAACACGTATTAAAAAAAATTCTTTTTAACAATAAAGTTTTATTTTTTTATTTTTTTGTGTGCAAACTCCATCTTTATTTGCCCTTTTTACAGATTATGACCATTCGAATTTGCTATCTAAAATAGTAGGGAAGATCAAAACAAGTTGACTACAGGGGCAGGAAGAGCCCTGGAAAAAACTGAGTTTTAATTCAGCCAGAAAATGCCCATAAACCATATAAAATTTTCCTAATTAAATCGTTTTATCTTTTTCTCTCGTATTTGCATGTAAATCTAAAAATTTGGGATTAGTTCGCTTGCGGGCTAAAATTTTAAAAATTACACCAATGATCGGCTATATAATGCATAATTGAGTAAACTTAAATGATTGTTTAAAGAAATATATCTATTTAATAGTTTTTTAAGGTACAGGTAGGAGTTATCCTTTCCCAGATATTTCCGGAACTCCGGATATTTTTTTCAACTTTTAGTTTTTCCGGATATCCAAAAAATTTTCTATACATACAAGTTTAGGTATAAATTTGTGTAATATATTTGTTTTTTAAGTTTTTTCACTCATCAATTGTAGAAAAATAAAGAAAAGTTTGAAAAAAAAAGAAAGTTAGAAACAACTCAGGTAAAAGCAAAACTAGGAGGAAAAGTTTTTTCCGTATATTTTACTCAAACGATTTTTCGGATTTTTAAAATATAACCTAGATGACCTATAGGTGCAGGGAACTTATTTTTGAGATTAAAATCAATATGAAGCCACTCTGGCCAGCATACCACTAGCTTGCAAATGCATTTTTGGACAAGTTAACATTTGTTTACATTCAAAAAATCGAGTTCTTCATTCTTAAAGTTCAAAGACTTCAGATACCTGCAAGTAAAGTATTAATTATTGGAATTAGAGGGTTAAAAAAATTCTTTTAGATACCAAAATGTATTTGAATTATATATAAACTTCAACATATGTTGAATAAACAACAATTAAAACTACTATATTAATCGTTTCTTCACTGTCATTTAAATTATGCAAATATTGTATGGGTAGGCGCCCACTAAACTAAACTTAAATCTCTTTATCAACACCAGATACACGCAGCTCGTTTGAATAATTTTGTAAATCGTTTTTCAAACTCAAAGTCATTTCTGAGAGAAAAGCCTTATATGTAAACGAACTGAATGTTTATAATATTTTATGTTTCATGTTTAATTGTAAAAATATAATCTTCGTAATGGAAAAAATCTTCAAGAACCTTTCAGCCAAACTAAATTTGAACAACTATCTCTTTCTTATCGCAGGCCTTATTTATTGAGTAAAATAGTTTATCCTAATTTTGATTTGTCTTTGAAATAGACTTCTCTAAAACGAATATGATAATTTTTACGGGCGAAAAATTTAATAAATTTTTAATGACTTTGTAACAAGCAAAGCAAGAACTTTAGCTAATATTTGTTCAGTATTTACTGACTACTGCGTATAGTCAGCATTTTGACTACTTCTTAAACTTCTTGCAGGTTGTAGTTGATGTAATATGATTTAAACTAATAAAAAGATCTTTAAAGTAGTTTCTCTTTTACTCTTGAAACTTTTGGACTTTTTTTTAACCTTATGGCGAATTTTTATGTTAAAAACCTAATAGATATAAGTTAGATCAAACACATTCAAATTTGTTCAAGTTTTAATTTTTTATCAACTTTTAAAGAATCATAATCGTGGCGCAGTAGTTAGAGCTTTATACTCATAATCCAAGGAAACTATAAGAATAACTGGAGGTGCAAATCGTGAGGTTAGAATTATTTTGTTGTAACTCCACTTTTTGAAAAGTTTGTGGGTGGCTCCACTTAGAAGACCTCATTTTAGTCCTGAAGAAACAAGAATAATTAATTGAAAAGATTTAATTTTTTGAAAAAAACTAATTTTCTCAATTTTTTTTGTTCCAAACCTAACCTTTGATTTAGTCTTTCTCATCAACATACTCAAGAATCTCATGTCCTGGACTGGCATTACTTTATTTTCCTTGATCCTCAGCTTAAGCATTTCCATGTAAGTTTTATTTTCATATTGGACAAGTGTGAGTCTTTTCTACTATGGGTGTAGAATTGCTCCATAAGAATAGCACTAGTTTTATAGTCCTAAAATCTGGAAATTTTTTTGAATACATCTCTTCAATCTTGGCAAGTGGACCAATGATGGTAACAAGAATGATGGTAACAAGAATGATGGTAACAAGAATGATAGTAACAAGAATGATGGTAACAAGAATGATGGTAACAAGAATGATGGTAACAAGAATGATGGTAACAAGAATGATGGTAACAAGAATGATGGTAACAAGAATGATGGTAACAAGAATGATGGTAACAAGAATGATGGTAACAAGAATGATGGTAACAAGAATGATGGTAACAAGAATGATGGTAACAAAAATGATGGTAACAAGAATGATAGTAACAAGAATGATGGTAACAAGAATGATGGTAACAAGAATGACGTTAACAAGAATGATGGTAACAAGAATGATGGTAACAAGAATGATGGTAACAAGAATGATGGTAACAAGAATGATGGTAACAAGAATGATGGTAACAAGAATGATAGTAACAAGAATGATGGTAACAAGAATGATGGTAACAAGAATGACGTTAACAAGAATGATGGTAACAAGAATGATGGTAACAAGAATGATGGTAACAAGAATGATGGTAACAATCTGCAAAAAGAAACAAAATTTTTTTTCCATAAATTTCAACAAATTTTTTATTTTATTTTTGTTTTATTAAATAAGTTTATTTTTTGTTCCTTTATATTATAAATTAGTAATTACATAAAAAAGATTAGTTAACAGTGAATATATAAATAAAAACAAAATATTGCAAAGTGGTTTTACAAAAATAATAAAGTCACTCTAACTCTTGTAAAAAGAACGCGAAAAATTTGCAGAAGACCAAATGGTTTAATTATCAAGAACCGCTTTACATCGCCGTAAATACGATTATAATCATTACATTATAATCGTATCAAAATGTCAGATAACAAGTATACAAATTTATTTTTACAAATATCGTTTTTTTTTTCCCCCCACTAGTATTTACAATAAGAATTTATTTTCAATAATATTTACAAGTTAATGTTTTTTTTATTTGTTATTTCAATAATATTTACACATTTATTACTAATGCAATGTTGAAAATATATTTGTATATAATAAAAAACAAGAAATTATTTAAGAAGCTTGCAGAAAATAAATTTAAAAAAATCAATAAGTAAATTTTTATATTTTAAAATACTCTTTTTAATAGGTTTTTTAAACCAAATCAAGTTTTTTAAAGCAATATTGTTTAAATTGATTAGTAAAAACCTATTCCAGATAAGAGGTGCACGATAAGTCATTTTGAATTGCTCAAGCTTATTTTTACACGAAGGCTCTAACAAGGTACTATTTTTACCTTGTTAGAGCCTTCATATAAAAAGAAGCTTGAGCTTGAGCTATTTTTAGTTTTTTTAATAAGTAACGAGACTGGTATATTATTCCTATGCTTTTGGATACTTTACTACCTAAATAAGCCATATGTTAGTTGTAATTTAGATTTCCATCAATAAAAACACCCAAAAATTTTGTAACTGTATTCTTACTTATTTCTCTATTTTCATTAAAAAATTTCGGCAAAGAAGATTGAACTTCTCTTTTTTTAAAGGAAGGATGAAATAAAGAAAACTTTGTTTTATTTAAAGGAAGGATGAAATAAAGAAAACTTTGTTTTATTTAAAGGAAAGATGAAATAAAGAAAACTTTGTTTTATTTAAAGGAAGGACGAAATAAAGAAAACTTTGTTTTATTTAAAGGAAGGATGAAATAAAGAAAACTTTGTTTTATTTGAGTTAATAGAGAGTTTGAGAAAGATCTACAAAAACACCTTATGTAACTTCTCCGTTTGTAAAGGAGTTTTTTATTTCTTCAACCATGTAAAGGATTGCGCGTTCAGTTGATATATTTTTTTGAAAACCGAACTGCTTGGAATAATCTATTGTGCATATTTTTCTCTAGTATCTTAGAGAATATTGAAAGTATCGATATTGGTCTAAAATTACCTATTTCACTTGCATCTCCTGATTTAAATATAGGTTTTATTTTAGCAGTTTTTAGTTTTTCAGGAAATTTACCTTTCCTTAGAGAGTGTTGAAAATTTTGAATAAAGGAATTTTAAGGTCATTGTAGCAGTTATTTACTATGTTGCTATTGACATCTTCAATTCCAGTTGCCTTGTTTCTTTTTAGGTTTTGAAAGCCTCATAAATTTCTAACATGGGTAATTTTTTGTTATTTAGTTTATTTCTATTACGACTTAAATATTTATCAAAAGATTTATTTACGAGAGAAATTTGAGATGAAAGTTTAGATCCTAGATTAACAAAAAAGTTGTTAAACTCATTTGCAATGTCGTTTTCATTATCAATTAATTTGTGATTAATTTTTATAGTTTTAGGACAGCATGGTTTGCTAATTTTTGGTTTACTAAATGTTTCATTTAATATTTGCCGTGTTTCTCTGGAGTCTATTTGACACTTTTAAGTAGTTTATTAAAATAACTAACTTTAGCGGATTTTTAAGTTTCTCAAATAAATTTTCATAATTCTTGTGTTCTGTTTTTGTTTTATCGCATTTTTTTAAAGGTATTTTATATTTAACATTTGTTTCCGTTTCGATGACTTTTTAAGACCTTCGCTTAACCAAGGTAAATTAATGTCTTTAAGTTTATTTGTTTTTGTTACTTTGGATAATTAGATGGTGTTGGTAATGACATTTATTTATGATCTCATTAGAATACAATCGTTTGGTCAACAAAGCAACATTAAAAAGTATCAATAAAGCAACATTATCAAGAAAGCACATTTAATAGCCTCTGTTCTAATATGTTATGGTTTTAAAAGATATTGGAAAAAAAAGCTTGGAACAAATCTTTTGTCTTCAAAATCAAAGAAAAATAGTTGAATAGGTGAACATATTTAACACTGCTCTTCTTCAACAAATAAAACACAAATTTTGAGCAACAAAAAAGACAACAAACATTTTGTTGTTTTTATGATTCTCAAAATATTTGCAGCTGAGGAAAAATTAAAAAGAAAAATTTAAAGCGTATAACTATGAGAGAAAAAGCAATATTGTCTTGCTAGAAGCATAGAATGTCGTTGCGTTCATTCCAAGAAATTATGGAAATTATCGAAAATTTTTATCACTCTAGCTGTTGCCAATTTCTATGCACAAAATTTATCCTCTATAACTAATTCTTCTATCATCACACTCAATTCTATTGTTTACATCTTTATTGCTGGAGCCAAGGCAAAAGCTCTTCGTGACACTAAAAAACTCTGACACATTTATATGCAAATCGTTATGTGGCTTATTAAAACTCAACATACGTTATTTTGTCAAATTATTGGTAAAGTAGAAATTAATTTTACTTTGATTGGTATAAAGCACTCTAGTATATTTTTTGCTTTAATCCACTATTGTTTTTGTGACCCAATTTTTTTGCAAAAATTTATTTTTTTTAAGTATAAAAGATGTTTTTTTTATGCATCTAGAAGTGAACGCTTTTAAGTGTAAATAAACGAAGTCTATTTTAAAACTGATAGATTAGTTTGCTTATACTACAAAATTTTATTATACCAAATGAGAGTAATTTTTATCGAAGCATAGTTAACTAAGCTCTCGGTGTAGTTAAGGCACTTTTAAAATATTATAGCGTCTGTATAATATTTTGTTGATTATGACATATTTCCGTGAATTGGTCTGGTCTGTGAATTATGAAAAGACGAAAAAAATTAAAATAATAAATTTTGCGGTATCATAAAATATAAATGTCTGTAGCGAAAAAACCCAGACCGTGGAATCATTTTTTTTTTTTTAAATCATTTTAAAATCACAATCGCTCTTCTAAATTTAAATAAGATTTTATATTAATACGTTTTTTAGGTAAAATGAACATTATAGTTTAACCATATGATCTGTTCTGATCGTTTATTGGCAATTATTTATAACTATAAGTTCTTTCTTGGTCGGAATTCCAGTATTTTTTGTGAAAATTGATAGAAATAATGTGTTTTGACAACTATATATAGCTAATATACGTCGATTCGAACTAGGATCAGTAGTAAATTAAGTAACGTTTTAAAAAGATTTTAACTAAATTCATATTAATATAGATGAGCGAAGTTGATCTAACGACTCCAAAATAGTGTTTTTTAGATACATTATTACGGGTTGTAAAAAGATTTTAAAAATTATATATAAAAAAGAAAAGTTTCTTCAAATATTATAAAAATCTTTAGGAAAAAAAGTTATAACATTTAAAGATCTCGTTTTGGCATAATATGCTGACAAAACCATGCTAATTCCAAATAAAAGTATTCAAATATTTTGTAAATCGCCTTAACTACACCGAGCTGCTATAAAAAATATTCTTGTTTTAGTGCATAGTACATCTATTATTTTTCAAATAGTTTGTAAACGTTTACATCAAGTAAGCTTATAATTGAACTTTTAAATTAATAATACGTTACTTTATTAATAATTAATGCTTTTATTTGCTGTAAAATTAGTTATTTTTTGCAAAGGTATGTACTATTTGAAAAATATAATTAAGATGAAGTATTGCATTATTATATTACATAACTTAAGAAAGAACTGTAAGCAAATGTTTTAACAATATTAAAAGAATCGTTCAAGTTTTGGATCTCAGATAACAACGAGCAATTTTTATAACTTTGACGGATGAGTATGTTCCGAAAACAATAAACCTACTACCCAGTGGACACGGACGTAAAAAAGACGTTTTATAAACGTCTTATACACGTTTTAGACGTCTTTTGAACGTTTTGGACGTCTTTTGAACGTTCAAAAGACGTTTTTTTTTGTCTTTTATATATATATATATATATATATATATATATATATATATATATATATATATATACATATATATATATATATATATATATATATATATATATATATATATATATATATATATATATATTTATATATATATATATATATATATGTTTTTGTTATCCATTATAAAAATGGGTAACAAAAACTTAAAAATTTAGTTATTTATTAAACAGTTATATTTATATTTTTAAAATTATAACAAAGGTTTGTTTTAATTTAAAACTTTTTGTTGTTTAGCGACGTGCCATTAGTATACCAGCAAGATAGATGACTGTATATATTTAAACAAATTTATTTTGCCAATTTACTGGATGTTGATTTTGCAGACTCTACTTCTTCAAATATAATATCAAAAAAGTTTGTTGATAATTCCTTCTATAACAAGTTTACTATTGCGTTCAATCCTGTCAATAACTAGTTCTTCTGTTTTTTTTTTTTCGACCTCAGTTTGATCTAGATTAATGTATACTTGTATATGTAAAACAATGTCTTAAGCTTTTCAGAAACTGTTATAACTTCTATTCTGTTTGGTTATTGGTTAATTTTACTAACACAGGGCTTCTTAAATGCATCGTTCCTGGGTTTGAAATGATAAACTCTTTTGATTATATTTTTATCTAAGCTTTTTTTTTTTTTCACTAAATAGATCATTGGCCAAGTAGTCATATTGGTGAGTTTTCAAGAAATAATGATATACAATCAATAAAATAAAAAAGTCATAAATAATATGCGTTCTCTTTTTGTTTTTTTTGTTTGTATTTTTGTTTGTATTTTTCTAAGTTCATCAAAGCCGAGAAGACCACTATAGACGAGGAGGCTACTTAATTGTGGTTATAACCCTCTCTCAACTCTATTACTCCGCTGCAAGAACTTTGATGAACAAGGCGGCTGCGCATAGAAAATAGTTGAGCGTGGTACTATCAGAGACATCGTGGGGATCGAATTCGGAATCTCTCGCTTATAAAGCGAGCGCTCAACCACTACACCACTACCGCTACCCGATAGGATTTTTCCAGTTACCACTTGGCGGTAATTGGAAAAATCCTATCGGGTATCAGTCAGAGCTTTTAAATTGTTTTTGTTTGTTTGTGAAAAATTCAATTGAGGATTCAATTGAATAATAGTTAAAACTCAAATAATTTATCTACAACAAAAAATTAAAATATAGATTTAATTGTTTTTAACTTTAATTTTTAATAATTATATTTAAACAATGTCATTAAAAATCATTGCAATATTCAGTTATTATCCGCCAACTTAGACACCTTCCATATTTAAAACCGTTACGTAATGCGTGGTATGTTGTACAGCACGTGCGCAATCATCTTCTATTATTATATTGGTATTTTTATTATAGCTCTTTTTCCCTCCTTGGTCCATGCGCTTTTTTGCAAAAAAGGTTAAGTTTTGTTTCATCCAACCAAAGCACCTGATAACCATTTGTGATATGTTCTTTAATGTTCCAAACATACTCAGCTCTTTTTTGTTTTTTTTATTACCATTCATTATAAAAGGCTCCTTGTGAACTTTTTTAATGAAAACAACCTACCCTCGAGGCAATTGACGGTTGTTGTTGTGTTGATGTTAATATTAATTTGTCTTAAAATATTTGTTTTGATGGCCACCATTGTCAATTAACAGCCAATTTCAATCCATGTTAACGTTTCTTCAATTTTATCCTGATTAATTTAATTTAATCCTAGTTAATATAATCAAGTTAATCCTAGTTAATTTGAAACCGCTCCATCCAATAAAACTTGATTTTCCGCTGCGAATCCAATTGTAAGCTGTCTTATATTTGACACCTAAAGTTTGCGCCAAAGTCACCTAATTCTCATTTCACTCAGCTCATTCAATAACTCTTCTTCTGTCATTTTATTGGTTCTGGTTGTTCCAGAACCAATAAAATTATTAAATTTCAGAAAAAATCTCCCCTCCCCCGTATATTAAAATCCCCCGTTTATTAGATTTTGACTAAAATTCCCACCAACCCGTTTAATCCCAACCCCCGTGTATTCGGCACTCGAGAGTAAGCAAATTTGATGAAATAAATGCTGAAAAAAATGCAGAAAAAGATAACAGACTTTCGGAACAGACTTTCGGATCATAATGTATTGACAAATAACACAATGATCGTTCAATTTCATTAATATTGTTGGTGTATCCAAATGCTTAATTTAATATTTTTAATTTATTCAAATTCATGTTGCAGAAGACCATTTATAATGAC